TTGTGGCTTTGGTTGAAATTGGCCCAGTGGTTCTTGAGAAGAAGATGAAAATTTGAAAAGTTTACAACGACAACGACGACAACGCCGACAAAACCGACAACGACAGACAACGGACAAATTGTGATCAGAAAAGCTCACTTGAGCCTTTGGCTCAGGTGAGCTAAAAAGAGTCTGAGAGACCTTCTATATACTCATCTTCTCCTTGTTCTGGATGAGGGTTAATCCATACATGTAAATTAAAACATTTTTCGAAAGATGTAATTATTACAAATTGATTCTCTCAATTACTACAAGTGGCCAAGGGGCCACAGCGCTCACCTGAGCACATCGGCTAGGAAAAAGCACATGTCAGATCAGCACTGAAAGTTTACTGAGGTTGGAAGAGGGGCGGTGGGCTTGAATTTTAGCCCCCAGGGGATCATGATTTGAACGAATTAGAATCTACATTACTTGAGGATGATTCCATACTACATTACTTGAGGATGATTCCATATAAATATTACTAATCATGGCTTTGAAGTACTTGAAAAGAAGTTTTTAAATGGTTTCCTTATATATTCCTATGTAAAACTTTGGTCAGCTATTTTGGCCCCACCCTACCCCCAGGGGTCATGATTTGAACAAACTTGAATCTACACTACCTGAGGTTAATTTCACACGAGTTTTATCTTTCCTATAACTTTTAAGGCCATTATGACCCCACCCTAGCCCCAGAGGTGATGATTTGAACAAACTTGAATCTTCACTACCTGAGGATGCTTCCACATGAGTTTCAACTTTCCTGTTCCTATGGATCGTGAGAAGAAGATTTTAAAAGATTTTTCCTACATATTCCTATGTAAAACTTTGATTGGCCATTTTGGCCCCACCCTACCCCTGGGGGTCATGATTTGAACAAACTTGAATCTACACTACCTGAGGATGATTCCACATGAATTTCATCTTTCCTGGCCCAGTGGTTCTTGAGAAGAAGATTTTAAAAGATTTTTCCTATATATTCCTAGGTAAAATTTTTAACGGCCATTTTTGCCCCACCCTACCCCCAGGGGTCATGATTTGAAAAAAACTTGAAAGTACACTACCTGAGGATGCTTCCACATGAGTTTCATCTTCCCTGTTTCTATGGATCGTGAGAAGAAGATTTTAAAAAATTTTCCCTATATATTCCTATGTAAAACTTTGATCGGCCATTTTGGCCCAACCCTACCCCTGGGGGTCATAATTTGAAGAAACTTGAATCTACACTACCTGAAGATGATTCCACATGAGTTTCATCTTTCCTGGCCCAGTGGTTCTTGAGAAGAAGATTTTAAAAGATTTTCCCTATATATTCCTATGTAAAACTTTGATCGGCCATTTTTGCCCCACCCTACCCCTGGGGGTTATGATTTGAACAAACTTGAATCTACACTACCTGAGGATGATTCCACATGAGTTTCATCTTTCCTGGCCCAGTGGTTCTTGAGGAGAAGATTTTTAAAGATTTTTCCTATTTATTCCTATGCAAAAATTTGATCGGCCATTTTGGCCCCACCCTACCCCCGGGGGTCATGATTTGAACAAATTTGGATCTACATTACCTGAGAATGCTTCCATATAAATATGATTAATTTTGGCTTTGTTATTCTTGAGAAGAAGATTTTTAAAGAAATTTCCCATATATTTATATGTAAAACTTTGGTCGGCCATTGTGGCCCTGCCTTAACCCAGGGGGTCATGATTTGAACAAACTTGAATCTATACAACCTGAGGATGCTTCTATATAAATAGGATCAGTCATGGCTTTGTTATTCTTGAGAATAAGATTATTAAAGAATTTTCCTATATATTTCTATGTAAAACTTTGATCGGCCATTGTCGCCCCGCCCTACCCCCAGGCATACATGCCAACTTTTAAAAATTTTCTTGGGGTAGATTGCGCGTAACGACATTTTTTGAAGTTCCTAATTCACGGCATTTTGTCGTGAATTATAACTATTTGTAGGATTTTATTTTTAAATATCAATCTACTACCTTGTATCATATATTATCACTACTTCAACAAGAGGCCCATGGGCCACATCGCTCACCTGAGCACTAAGGGTAGGAAAAAGTAGAAAATGGCTTTTTATTGTAAAGTTTAAATACAAAAGTAGTCCCATGACCAATCATGGATTTGCTAATTTTTAGAAAATGATTTTTAAAGAATTTTCCTATATATATCTTTAAAAACTTTGGTCGGCCATTTTGGCCCCGCCCTACCCCGGGGGGTCATGATTTGAACAAATTTGAATCTACACTACTTGAGCATGCTTCCATATAAATATGATGAATTATGGCTTTGACATTCTTGAGAAGAAGATGTTTAAAGAATTTTCCTATATGTTTCTATGTAAAACTTTGGTCGGCCATTTTGGCCCCACCCTACCCCCGCGGTCATGATTTGAACAAACTTGAATCTACACTACCTGAGCATGCTTCCATATAAATATGATGAATTATGGCTTTGTCATTCTTGAGAAGAAGATTTTTAAAGAATTTTCCTATATATTTCTATGTAAAACTTCGACCATTTTGGCCCCACCCTACCCCCGGGGGTCATGATTTGAACAAAATTGAATCTACACTACCTGAGCATGCTTCCATATAAATATGATGAATTATGGCTTTGTCATTCTTGAGAAGAAGATTGATTTTTTTAGAATTTTCCTATATGTTTCTATGTAAAACTTCGGCCATTTTGGCCCCACCCTACCCCCAGGGGTCATGATTTGAACAAACTTGAATCTACACTACCGTAGGATGCTTCCATATAAATATGATGAATTATGGCTTTGTCATTCTTGAGAAGAAGATTTTTAAAGAATTTTCCTATATATTTCTATGTAAAACTTTGGTCGGCCATTTTGGCCCCGCCCTACCCCGGGGGGGTCATGATTTGAACAAACTTGAATCTACACTACCTGAGCATGCTTCCATATAAATATGATGAATTATGGCTTTGTCATTCTTGAGAAGAAGATTATTAAAGAATTTTCCTATATATTTCTATGTAAAACTTTGGTCGGCCATTTTGGCCCCGCCCTACCCCCGGGGGGTCATGATTTGAATAAACTTGAATCTACACTACCTGAGCATGCTTCCATATAAATATGATGAATTATGGCTTTGTCATTCTTGAGAAGAAGATTTTTAAAGAATTTTCCTATATATTTCTATGTAAAACTTTGGTCGGCCATTTTGGCCCCGCCCTACCCCCGGGGGACATGATTTGAACAAACTTGAATCTACACTAACTGAGGATGTTTCCCCATAAGTTTCATCTTTCCTGGCACAGTGGTTCTTGAGAAGAAGATTTTTAAAACATACCACCAAATTTTCACTAATTCTCAATTATCTCCCCTTGAGTGAGGGCGTGGCCCTTCATTTGAACAAACTTGAATCCCCTTTACCCAAGGATGCTTTGTGGCAAGTTTGGTTGAAATTGGAACAGCGGTTCTTGAGAAGAAGTCGAAAATGTGAAAAGTTCACGGACATACAGACAGCTAGACAGACAGACGGACAGATGGACGCCGGACAAAATGTGATCAGAAAAGCTCACTTGAGCCTTCGGCTCAGGTGAGCTTAAAAGTGTTTTCTTCTCTATCAACTTCAACAAAAGCACAAAAACAATATCATTTGAAATTTAAAAAAGACAATTTTATTCAAAATCATTTAATATGTTAATATTCACTTAAGGTAAACAAACCCCATGCCTTAAAGAATGTGATACAAAAACAGATTATTACATGAATAAGGATGTTAAATTTTACAAATAAGTTAAGTTTATGCTGCAGTTACAATGTCCCAGGTTACTGTTCACTGTCTGTTGGTAAATTACAAGGTTTATAAGGCTACTTTCACAGACATATTTTTATTAATTCAAAGGGAATATTAAGAATTAGTTTTTAACATTTTCGTTCAAAGTCTGCAAAGGCATGTTCTTTTTCCCAATCACTCCTAATGGTTTGTACTTGCAGTTGCAGGCAAATCTTTTCGTAACAGTTGGATTTTGGCAGTGTCTTTTCCATGAAGTAGATAATTTACTAAGAATTAATGCCATATTTCCAAAACTTGATACCTTTTATAAAAGATTTATACGTATATTGTCAAATTTTGCTGTAAAGTGTGAACTCTCACAAGTTTGTCAGTTTGTATCCTGTCGTGTGTATTTCTAAAATTTCAACATCTGGCGTAATTGTCTAGGTTAAAATACACTGTTAATGAGGTTCATGAGCAATTAAAACCACTGTAATGACTGATAACACAGTTGACACCTTGTTGATTACCTGTTATCAGCGGCAATAAACAGATTGTCAGATATCCTACCGATAAACATTGAATCAGCCATGTTTTCTGCACACGGAAATACTGTATTATTCAAAGGGAATGGGTAAAAAATTCAGATTTTCGAAAAATCGTTAGATATGGGGTGAAAAAAATAAAGTGGTAGACAAGCGGTAAACAGGGTTCAAAATCGGTAGACTCCCGAAAAAATCAGGAAAGTTGGCATATATGCCCAGGGGTCATGATTTGAACAAATTTGAATCTACACTACCTGAGGATGTTTCCCAAAAAGTTTCATCTTACCTGGCACAGTGGTTCTTGAGATGAAGATTTTTAAAACACGCCACCAAATTTTCACTAATTCCCAATTATCTCCCCTTGAATGAGGGCGTGGCCCTTCATTTGAACAAACTTGAATCCCCCTCACCCAAGAATGCAATGTGGCAAGTTTGGTTGAAATTGGCCAAGTGGTTCTTGAGAAGAAGTCGAAAATGTGAAAAGTTTACTGACAGACAAACAGACAGACAGCTAGACAGACAGATGGATGCCGGACAAAATGTAATCAGAAAAGCTCACTTGAGCCTTCAGCTCAGGTGAGCTAAAAAAAAAAGCAATTCATAAAGTGTGCCATTCTACATGGTATGGAAAGTTACTTTAAATGAACAACAAAGTTTAGAGATAATTTACAGTCTTACTACTTCTAGGGAGGGGTGAGGAGGTTTGGCAGTTGATTGCTGTGTTTGAATTTGTTCCTGTTCTTGAATCATCTGAGTGATTTTGGTGATCTGTTGCTCCTTGTCGGCCAGCTGTGCCTCCAGGTCACTTTTCTCCTCCAGTAAGGTGTGGGCCTGCTTCTTCTGTATACTGTTACTCCTCCTCAGGTCAGCATTGACCTTCACAATCTGATCCAGTTGGCTCTGAAGCTGTGAAAATGATAGTGAATGATAAAGACTTTAATTGTTAAAGCTATGTAAAAAATGTGTGTATGGAATTCGTTGAATCAAATACATGTGAGTAGCTCGTGATCCAAGAAAACTCCGCGATATGCGTGAATGTGCAATATCTGTGTTCGTACTAAATGAGTTTTAATAGTCTTTAAAAATAATTGTATACTGTATACAGAGAAAATTTCGCCCCCATTTTATTTTCGCTCTTCCCTCATTTGGGCGAACATAAAATGGTGCGAATTCAAATTATACAGTAAATTTCTTAAAAAAGCTCTGACAGGGCAAATTTAAAACTGGGCTAAATTGTTTGCAAGTGTGGAAGGGCAAAAATAATACGGGGCAAAAATAACCCTGTATACAGTAGTAAATACCTCAGTATTTCAGAAAATAACAATATTTGAAGCATATATCTATGCCTGCTGGTTGCGAGCACAGTGAAAACTGTCAAGTCTGACACCTGTGCAATTTGTTTCGCTGTGGATTCCTACCTTGATTTTCATTCCCATTTTAGCATTTTCATGTTTTTTACATAGTGAAATCCAACATTCTGTCTATTCCAACACAAAATCTGTCTTGTTCAGGTTGTTGAAGATTTTTTTTTTTATAATATTTATTATTTTTTTTCTTTAAAAGAATATACATTGATACAATTCAAAATTTTCAAGATAACTCCTGATTTGATACAGCTGAAATCATTGTCATACAATTTACCTCTAAGTGCACATTTTATAACCAAACTTTGTCAGAAATCTTTTTCCCTCTTAAACTTTTGTTATATTTTTAATTAACACCTGAAAGAAGGTCATGGTGACCTACTTATCACTTGTCATTCTCCGAGGGCCCAAGATGCATCAACTAAGTTTGATGATTCTAAGCCAATAAATACCTGTTAGTGTAATATTTTCAAAATTAGGCGTAATTAAAAAAATATGTTTGTTTACGGTTACCCGTATTTTAAATCACCCACCAAAACTATTTTTTTCATTGTAAAAATCCGAAGGTCACTGGCAAGTCAGTTTAACTTGTATACCATTCGATACATTGAAAATCAATTCAACACCTTTTTCTTTCTCTTCTGTTTTTGTTTTCACGTTATAAATAAATAAAAATAAATGCCTAATAGCCTGCTGTTAAATAACTTGGAATTTCTCAAAGAAATCAATTATAAATCTACCTCGAATGTACAGTTGAATTTTTGAAAATTTATCAATGTTCTCCATAATGTCACTGTATACATGTACAGTATACATGTATCGATCGCCACCAAAACAACAATGATCGATTCCACAATTCCCTTACTGTATTGGAATATACAAGGGGCCTGGCATACTGGCAGCGAGATTAAAGCGAGGTCCGCTTCACGCATCAGTGCATAATGCGATCCCGAAGCGCACCAAAATTTCTGAAAGCGAACCCGAACGGACCCCGAGTGAACCCTGGGTCTGCTTCGGGTTCACTCTGGTGTTAGGTTGTGTCCAGTCTGTCCTGCATTTAACTACATAACTAAAACTTACAGCCTCACAATCAGACATTCTGTGTTTAGCATCTGTCTTTAACTTCCTCAATTCTTCTCTTTGTTTGTCAACTGTTTTTTTTAGTTTGGTTAATACTTCAATCTCTTTCTCTTCAGTTTCTACAATAAAAAAAAAAACTAATAAAAGATATGGAACTCATGAATATATAAGGTTTATGAAGATTCATGAAATGTCGTCGATAGATGCAAAGCTCACTTAATATAGTGTTTGCTTGAAAAGTGAACAGATTCATTAAGGCTTGTTTATGAACAGATAATGAACCGGCATTTATAATGACACAAAAACTTTTTTTTAACAAGTCATCGGTCAATGTCAAAAGAAAGTTGTTTATTAAAACTCTGTAGACAAGTATGTGAAACAGAATTCCAAAACAATCAATGGCAACAATTTGTGAAATGGATTACCAAGAAGTTTAGGTCAATAGAATCTTTTGTGGGATAAATTTCTTCAACATCACCAACTTCACCAAGATGATTGTGAACTAAACCCAATCCCGGATTGTTCAAACAAGTTCATTCTCTCTTTTTAGTGTAAACTTTACTGTTAAGGTATGTCACTTGTGAAATTTGTTAATTCAAGGATTTTTTTGAGAAGTATATTTTGGATAAGTACTCATATAGTGTGACTCAAAATCGCATAGTGACATACCTTAAGCAAGAGTTTAGACTTCAATTTGATTACTGTGTTAATACGGATGAGCTTGTGTAACATCTCTTCTGATTTTTTTTAAATGTATCTGAGACTTGCACATGTCCTGTTTTGATTTCTTTTATTTTTCTTTGTTTCTTTAAATTGAAATAAAATATAAACTGATAAAATATGAACATAGTATTTCTGCATGTAACATCCTCTTGGCCTTGTTTATCTTAGGAGAGCTTAAAATTAAGAGAATTTTTGATATGATTAACTGATTAATCGGTAGGAACGTCTTGCGGGTAACCGATTGGCAATTCTGTATTTGATTGCCATCCCCATTTTAAAACATATCCTAACTTTAGGGGTCTACAAGTGGAGTGATCTTGGATCTAAATTGATTTTAAGCTATATTGTAACACCTACCGGGTATTATAAAATTTATCAAATCATGCATTGTAAAAATTTTAAAAGATGGATATAATTAAATACACATTTTGTTGGAGTGTATTTCCTCCTCTGAAGTAAACAGAAGTTATGTGCTGTGTGTTCATCATTTTTTTCTTAACTCTTTTCCCCTTAGACCTATAGTGACACTATCATAATGAGAATGAAATAAGTAAATTAAGTATTTAGCCTTTCATATTTTCTGTGTGCATCTGATCAGAGAATCTAATAGATCATGCATCTGGATATGATGACTTGAACTGCATTGATTATTATTATTATTGGACTAGTCCATTTATGGAATAAACCAACCGCAGGATCAGGAAACAAATTAGAACAAGAGATGTTTGTAAAACAATTATGCCCACCTCCCCCCCCCAAACACACACACATTGGAATTTTTCTAAGTCCAAGGGGCATAACTCTGTCAAAACTGGTGCAATCGTACCCAAAACAGAACTTGACCTAGATATTTATCTGATATATCTGTATACTAAATTTCATTCTAGTATGTGCAACCTCTGCAAAGAAAATGAACGGAAACTGCATATAATTGGAATTTTTCTATGTCCAAGGGAAGTAACTCTGTCAAAAATGGTGCAATCGTACCCAAAACAGAACTTGACCTAGATATTTATCTGATATATCTGTATACTAAATTTCATTCTAGTATGTGCAACCTCTGCAAAGAAAATGAACGGAAACTGCATATAATTGGAATTTTTCTATGTCCAAGGGAAGTAACTCTGTCAAAAATGGTGCGATTGTACCCAAAACAGAACTTGGCCTAGATATTCATCTGACAAACCTGTATAGTAAATTTCATTTCAGTATGAGCAACATCTGCAAAGAAAATGAAAGGAAACTGCAAATAATTGGAATTTTTCTAATTACAAGGGAATAACTCTGTCAAAAATGGTGCTTTTGTACCCAAAACAGAACTTGGCCTAGATATTCATCTGATAAATCTGTATACTAAATTTCATTTCAGTATGAGCAACCTTTGCAAAGAAAATGAAATGGAAACTGCAAATAATTGGAATTTTTCTCAGTCCAAGGGAAGTAACTCTGTCAAAAATGGTTCGATTGTACCCAAAACAGAACTTGACCTAGATATTCATCTAATATATTTGTATACAAAAGTTCATTTCAGTATGTGCAATGGTAGCAAAGAAAATGAACGGAAACTGCAAATAATTGGAATTTTTCTAAGTACAAGGGGCATCCAAAACAGAACTTAGCCTAGATATTCAACTGACATATCTGTATACCAAATTTCATTTCAGAATGTGCAACGGTTATGGGAAAATGAATGGAAACTAAGTGGACCGACAGACAGCAGCAAAGCAATATGCCCTCCCTTCTTCGAAGGGGGGCATAATAACTATGTACTTGATTAGTTTATTTAATACCCAGGAGCAAAAAAAGAAGATTTGTAAAGAATTAATGTATTAATGTATTTTCACTATTGTATACATGGAAATTTTCGCCCCCGTTTTTATTTTCGCCCCTTTCGTCCTCTTCTTGATTGGGCAAATTTAAAACGGGGCAAATTAAAATAATACAGCATAATTTGTTTAACAGAACTATGACTGGGCGAATTCAAAACGGGGCAAAATTATTTGGAAGTGCAAAAGGGCGAAAATAACACGGGGTGAAAATAACCCAGTATACAGTATATTATCAATAGAACCCCGCCCTAACCCTAGAACTCTCGACCAAGGGGCCATGAAATTCAAAATTTTGGAAGAGATTCTCTTGCTCATCATTATTATGTACTTGGTTAGTTTATTTATTACCTGGGAGCAGAGAACAAAATTTTAGATGAATTAATGTATTTTCACTACATTATAAATCAATAGAGCCCTAGAACCTCAGACCCTGGGGCCATGAAATTCAAAATTTTGGAAGAGGTAGCCTTATTTAACATAACTATGTACTTATTTAATTCATTTAATACCCAGGAGCAGAAAAGAAGATTTTAAAAGAAACAATTCTTTTTCACTTTTCACTTTATAATATATATTGAGCCCCGTCCCTAGAACTCCTGACCCTGGGGCCATGAAATTCACAATTTTGGAAGAGGCAGTCTTGTTCAACATAAATATGCACTAGCTTGGTTAGTTTATATAATGCCCAGAAGCTACAAAACTTCAAATAAATAATGCATTTTCACTATAAAATCTATTTAGCCCCCGCCCTAGCACTAGAACCCCTGACCTTGGGGCCATGAAAATTTCAAAATTTTGGTAGAGGACTCAATATTATTTATGTAGACACTTAGAGGGGTAATACAGACATATATGAGGTCCTTGAAAAAATACATATTGGGCGAAGCGTAAGCCAAGCCCACTATGCATATTTCAAGGACCCCATATATATCCGTATTACCCCTCAGTGTCTACATATTAATGAATTTATCCTGTCGAAGATTTTTAAATAAAATTCATTTTCTTTGAGATCAGCAAACCGTTCTGTAATAACTGTTTTCATTGTGACTCATTTTATGCTTTTGTGACGTCAGTTATTAGGTTCCTCGTTTGTTCAAATGAAAACAACACATTGAAAATGTTTTGGGCAGTATGGCATGTTGAGGGGGCATATTGATGTGGGTAGGTCACTTGGAGGGGGCACATTAACAATATGATGTGGGTAGACAGCATAATATGGTGAAATACAGTATTCTTCTTGACCAATGGAATTTCAAGATTTTTATCAGAGACAGGATAATGCTGATTACAATCATACCAACAGTGTGACTTCTTGATGTCTAGAAGTAAAGAAGAAGATTTTAAAAGATTGCATTGATTTTAGTAGTTATGCCCATGATTTGAACAATTAGAATCTACATTACCCCAGGATGCTTCAACATAAGTTTCAGCTTTTCTGGCCCAGTGGTTCTTGAGAAGAAGATTTTTAAAGATTTTCCTATATATTTCTACGTAAAACTTTGATTCCCTATAGTGGCCCCGCCCAACCCCCGGGGGTCATGATTTGAACAATTTAAAATCTACACTACCCCAGGATGCTTCCACATAAGTTTCAGCTTTTCTGGCCGGTTCTTGAGAAGTAGATTTTAAAAGACTTTTCCTATATATATTTATGTAAAACTTTGATTTCCTATTGCGGCCCCGCCCAACCCCCGGGGGGTCATGATTTGAACAATTTAGAATCTGCACTACCCCAGGATGCTTCAACATAAGTTTCAGCTTTTCTTATCCTTGTGACAAGACCTTTCATTTATATCAAGACCTTTGACCTTGACCTTAGAGTTTGACCTACTTTTAAGTTTTTTTTAACCTTGGCCTTAACTTTTGAATGGTTTGGGCTAGAGCTTCCATACTTCACATATGTATTCTTTGTGGCAAGAGCATTTATTGGATACATAACCTTGACATTGACCTTGACCTTGGAGATTTCCAGACTTATGAAAAAACATT